CTGTAAACCATTCATTATTACACGTTATGCATCTGTCCTATTGTATGATAAAAATGCATTTTAAACCGCCGGAAACCTTGCAGAATATTCTTTAAAATAAGTTGAATTCGTTCCCGCCATATTCTATTCCATTGAGTAAAGAAATTCAATGGTTATCTAACATTTATTTATTTTATTTTATGAGGGTGATCTATCCAGCCAGAGCTGATCAATTGGGCCCTCAGCTCAGGCTCTCACAACGATAAACTCCTTCTCCGGAGAAAAACAAATTTCCTCCGGAGGTTGGCTTAAAGTGACACTCATCAGTTAACTTCATAATTCCATTTTGGTTTGCAACATTCTATACCTCTTGATAAAAAAAATACAATTCTGATCTCTCAATTTTATTTAAATTTTAATGACTGCATTGCGTATCAATGTTGTCATGCAACTACATCCTCATAGGCCTACGACCAGGTTCATCAATAAAATGAACTTTTACATGATTTGAATGAGGTGAACTTAGTAACGAAACCACATCAGAATTGTGGTTTAAGCCAAGTTCACATAGGATTAGGTCTACATGTTACATACACCGATGATGTCCTGTATAGGCACAACCAAATAGATATGCTGGTAGAATTGACCTACTCTGAAAACAAAATTCCGCCACATCTTAACTAGTTCTAGAGAGTCTTTTTTTTTGTTTTTGTTTTTTTTGCTAAGCTATTACCATTTAGACGAACATGGCAAATGGCTCGACCTTTCATCTTTAGTTCCTTTTCCTTTAAATTGAACACATTCAACGAAGTCCTTGGCCTATTTTCCTAATACTAGTAATAGCCAATGTTACGCATGCATAACCATTATGAAATAATGCATGAGATTCCATTACTTTATATATTAATAATCGTCTCCTACTTGACCTAGATAAGATGTATATTGGGGGTTTTTTTTGTTTTTGTTTTTTTTTTATGGATGTTGACTAAGAGAACGAAGTACATCCAAACGAAGTTTGATTTTAATTTCTTTCTTTTTGACTATGAAATTTATTGATAGGCCTAATAGGCATAGACAAAATAAATTTAAATAGGTCCATTTTGTCGAAAAATGGCACCCAAAATAAACATGTGAAGACAATTATACTTTTGGATAAATTATAGGCCTAATAAACGATTCTAATTACAAAACTTTGTTTTTTTCGTAGTAAAATTCCGCATCATAAAAAACGATAGGAAATTGAACACACATTGTATAATATTATAGTTCAAAGAACAGGTCTTAGGTTATAAATTTATGACCATACGTTGAAGTTTTATTAGGTCATAGTAATCTAGATTTCTGTCAGTGTATGAAGCCTAAGAAAAAATAAATTTCAGACTGGAATTCAGAAGTGTTGGATTGAATTAGAGCAGTAAATACCACACATGGCACTCCAATTCGACTCGAGACTAGGCTCGTACCTCAAATGATTTATCGCCGGTTCCATATCTCAATGTCAAGTCGTTATTTTTTTTTTTTTTTTTTTTTTTTTTTTTTTTAAGCAAGTTTTTTTTTTTTTTTTTTTTATACATCGAATGGAATATTATTATTTCTTTAATTCGAGACTGTTTTAATTTATTCTTGATAATGCTCTTATCAACTAGTACAATGAGTAGGACTACAGTCGTTTTTAAAAGTAAGAAATCAAGTAGAATCATGACCACGGTATTTTATACGTGTTTAAGTCACCACGATTTAAAAAAGTATTACAATTTTTACTCATTTATTTAGGCCTACAACAAATAGGCCTATATCAAATATGGTAAATGATCTTGATTCTAATATTCCTACATCAAACACACAATATTAAATTTACAGCACCTACCACTAATGAATATTTGTGAACTTTGATAGAATAATTATGCTATACTGTATTGTGTCAAACGGCTGATGTCTAAAAGAACTATGTTTCTTACCTTTCCGGGAAACAGAGGTGTTCCAAAATGTGGCCTTATGCCTACTGTAATATCCCCTTAATGAAACTTGTGAAGGTTATATGTATTTTGATTTTATGATTTTACAATAACTATGATGCAAACTCATTTTTATTCCTTATCTATGAAAAGCATATACGGGTACACAAGTATAGGCCTAAACATTTTCAGCTCTCGTTTTCTAATATCCACATGATCTCTACACCGTTTTTGTAACAATTTTTTTTTTATTCCTAAAACAATTTATCTTATCTAAACTCTTCTCTTATCTGAACCTAAGTTACTTTTTAATTTCATGCTTTTCTAATTTGTTTGATGAATAAAATATTTTTGTATTGTTTTGTATTGTATACTGATACGTTAGAGAAAAACAAAAAGAAGAAAATATTGGTTAACTATATTCATAAGACGGTGTTAAAACAATGCTTACTTCCGGCAATAAGTAAATGGGAAGAAACAATAATAAGGTGATGTCCAACCATGGCAAATAAAGACTGCATAATTTTTTGTTTGCACGTTAAGTCATTTTGGACTTCATTCAGTCAACAATCTATATATTAGGCCGTGGTCTTAAAAATGGTGATTGTTTTATTGCTTGAAAATTATGTTCCTTCCTTCCTGTTATGAAGAGATTTTGGCAGAGAGAGGTATAAATTATTAGACAGGGGCCAACATGACGAATGTTAGGCCTCTGTTACAAGACTGATTTCAAATGACACAAAAAGCAGTTTGTTATAATCTTCTTATATACAAAATGTCGATGTTTATTGATTCTGTACATCCTGCCTGATTTATTTTAAACTTTACGTAAGAAAGTTACAACGGCTACAATAGACGTAGGCCTAACCAGAGACAATTTTATTATGAAAGTCAAGCCATCAGTATAGACGTGGACACTGATTTTGTTTTCCTGAAACTGTTGATTTATGTCCACAGACAAACAATAGAATGCAATACACATTTTATGGTGTAGGCTCTAATACCTTGTTTCCGGAATGGCAATTTACTGAGGAAAGCTATAAAACACGAATCAGTTTTTTTTTTTATCAGTACCGTACCCAGTTTGCAGAGGTTTAGCTTGTTGATTAGGGCAGGTACTGTAGAGTCGGACAGCCTAAGCTCTCTATTCCTCGTCGGTCGGAAATATGTCTTTCTTATTTTAAAAATAAATCTCTGGTCATAAAACTACTTCTAAAGTGTTTCAGAATCACTGCCACTTGAAATAACCCAATTTTTTTCCATTTTTCCTAGCAGATGGCATAGGCCTAACTCGTACACACCACCACAGCGGGCGTCGTCCCAAAGCACCGCAAATCCTTGTCGGATTGTCAGACCTCCTGTAGGAAAGTTCAATCCTAGAGCCATAACTGCTTACCCAACACCATGGGACGCAAAAGATCTACCCATGGTCATAGATGCACCAGTATCAAAAAGCCATACGTGTGGCATCAAGGAGTGTGCCATACTGGATGATGCGACTCTTATCAGAGGGTGCGGACGCACCCCCCCACCCCCCAAATTCCAAAATGTCCACTTTTTAAAACCTATGATTTCACAAAATCGTTCCTATTATCACAAAATTCTATAGCATGCATTGCATTATATATTTGCCAGCTTATCTAACCATTGATTTTTAATAATGTGCTATGAAATTTGTTAGAAATTGATCGTCTCCGGTGATTGCAGATTGATCTATATAATAATATGAAGAATGTTATCTATAGGCCTGCAGATGTACAAGACATAATAACGTTACTTTTTCAGGTCCCAAAAACACCCAAATTAATGAAAATTTAAATGAAATATTCATGAATTATGTGTTTGAGAAATCTATTATGTAAGACCCTCAAAATGCTACTTTGATGCTTTTCTCACAAACCCCCTCCAGGCCTCTGCCCCTGGACCACCAAATTTCAAGAAGTCCACTTTTTAAAACATATTATTTCACTAAAATCGTTCCTAATTATCGCGAAATGCTATAGTATGCATTACATTTTTTTGCCCGCTCATTCTACCCGTTGATTTTTAATAATGTGCTACGAAATCTGTTGGAAATTATCAGCTCCGGTGAGTAGGCCTACAGATGTAAAGGAAATGAAAAATCATAATTTCACAGTGGTGGATTCAAGGGGGTAGAGCCACCTAAATTTATAAAAGAAATGGAGAAAAAAGAAAAATCATAATTAAAGTTTGTCTGAGAGTGCCATTTCCGGCCACTTTGAGGTGCCATAATCATAAATTTTCTTACCTCAGCCCGGACCTTGGTGGGGCTGAGGTGGTATTGATCATCTGTCTGTGCAAGTTTCTCCCTTCACCCCACCCCCTATTTCTCCTGCTTTACTGTAGGTCCCTCAATACTCAAATGAATGAAAATTTAAATAGGATATTACAAATTATGGATTTTAGAAATCCATTAAAAAAGGCCCTCAAAATGCTAATTTGTCAGAGCTTCCAGAAGATTCGCCCACCCTCGCGGGGATCCCTAGGCTGTCGCCCATCGTAAGGTCCACTTCGGTTGCAAAACGCACCTCCAGATCGAAAATCCTGCCTACGGGCCTGAGGCGTAAATTATGCAATTTAAATAGAATCAGATTTAAATTCGATTATTTTGAGGGGTTGTAATTTAAGGTCATTATCACAATTCAGGGTTTTCACTATCAAAAGCAGAGCCTACACAATGAACATGAACATTGAGCGAGCCAAATGGCCGAGCGGTTAAGGCAGGGGCACCGTGATCATAGCCAACAATATCGGCATAGGTTCGCGGCCGGCTCGCTCCTATGGTTCTGGTGGTGGAACAAGTCTTCTCGGATAAGGAC